AAAAAAAAAAAAAAAAAAAAAAAAAAAAAAAAAAAAAAAACCCAAGTTACATTTTCCAACACAAACAACGTCCTACTCTCATTAATCTACCCTTAGCTACTCAGCTAGCAAACAGAAGGAAGCTGGTGATGACACAAGTCAAAGGTCCCTTAGGCCTGTAACCAAGTCATTGCCAAGGACTCTATTAAGGACACTGAGATGGAAATACCAGGAAAGCCAGATATGGATCTTGGGCCAACCCTGGAGTGGCTGAGGGAGGAGCTGGTAAGCCGATTCTTTTGCTTTGTCATGTCTCCCTGTATTTCCAAGGCTTCTGGACACACACACACACACACACACACACACACACCCTTCCCAGGACCTCACTGGCTGAAACAAGGGGCTTCAGGCTAACGTTTGGGTGCTACAGACACCCCTACCTGGGGCAGCCACACAGAGCACAGTGGAATTCTTAGGAGCTGGGAAACTGGGTCATGGCCTACATAGGAGACACTAGGTGCTGGCCAGACTGGTTTTAACATTGTACTGGGTGCTGGCACAGTACCCAGCACTGTTGCTGGGTGGCCTCTAGTTAGTGCCATTACCTCTCTGAGCCTCAGTTTCTTTAATCACAGGATGAAGGTAAAAATAATGCCAACAGGATGGGGGTTGTTCAGTGAGAGATGTCTGTCATGTATCTTATGAGTGCTTGGTACCAAGAGTTAAACCTGACCCCTGGGGGACACAGAGAACACCTATCACATTAGCTAGGAGAACAGAGGTGCGGACAGAAATGAGAGTAAGGATATGTGTGGAGGTACAAACTCAGGGAGATGAGAATAATAAAGGCCAGTAGAGGCAAAATTGATGCTGGGCTTGGCTGGGCCATGAGTACTGAAACCAGCTCCCACCGCAGAAGGGGCCAGAAGGAACCAGTTGGCCTGTGGGACTTCCTCTTGAGTGTTGAAACCAACTGTGCCTTAGAGGAGTGAGCAGGAAAACTTTCGCTTGTACAGCTTGCTCCTGTCTCCTGTTTCCAGTTGGTAAAGATTTATCCCATGGGTCACCAATTCTCCTGAGTATCTATGCAATGTTACCTGGGAAGCCAGGCGCCATGCCTTTCACGGGAGTGTTTTCTCCAGGTCCCAAAATAAAGTAGCATCCCCAAAGGTGTGTCCACAGCAGCCAAGAGAGGAGGACACCGTGCATGAACAGCAGAGGAGAGAGGGACAGACAAGATCATCTCAGTAGACCTTTGTGGGTTGCTAGGCAACAGGCCAACTGGGAGACAACCCAGACAGGATTCCTCATGGGGTTGGGGGTCACAGCTGATGCTGCTGAAGCTGCTTACAAGCCACAGGCACCCCAGCTGCACAGCTGGCCCTCTCAGCACAGACTTGGACTTAGCATCTGTAAGGTGATCAGGTTGGCACACAAACACACAAAAAAAATCACTTTTCTTTTTGCAGCATTATACCTGAATCCCAGGACCTATCACATGAAATGTTCTACCATTGAACAGATACCAGCCCTCTTAAACACTATTTTTAGTGGAAGAATAATTTTAATAATTATCTTTTGTAAAGAGAAACAAAGTATGAAAAATCTCTTACCCCTAGTGGTGATAGAGGTCATTTCTAGGATTCAGTTGTGATTTAATTACTTCCTCAACCCTTGAACATCTGCATCTCTGAAGCAGTGTGCTTCTGTGCTGTCAGAGAGCCACCTCCAGTGGCTTCCTGGGGAATGTGAAAAGCATAGTTTTGTTGTGGGATAACTTGGGCTGTGGTGGGACAGAGTTTTAACTATAGTTGATTCTGCTTTCAAAAACAAAGGTTTTAGATTATATTTTGTGCTAGCTAGTTTTGTGTCAACTTGACACAAGCTAGAGTCTTCTGGAAATAGGGAACCGAATTTGAGAAAATGTCTTCAGCTGTAGGTCATTTTCTTAACTAGTAATGGTTGAGGGAGGCCCTAGCCCATTGTGGGTGGTGCCACTCCTGGGCTGGTAATTATGGGTTCTATAAATAAGAAAACAGGCTCCAAAAGTCATGATTAGCAAGCCAGTAAGCAGCACTCTTCCACGACCTCTGCATCAGCTCCTGCCTCCAGGTTCCTGCCCTGTTTGAGTTTCTCTCCTGACTTCCTTCGATGATGAACAGTGATATGGAAGTGAAAAGACAAATAAACCCTTTCCTCCCCCAAGATGCTTTGGACATGGTGTTTCATCACAGCAATAATAATCCTAACTAGGATAGAAATTGGTACCGGGATCATAGGTTATTTCTGTGACAGTCCTGACCATGTTGTTTTGGGGTAGGATTGTACAAAGACTTGGAACTTTGAGCTAGAAAAGCCATTGAGGATTCAAAGATTGGTGAACTTTTCTGTGAGATCTTGGAAGGTAAGAACGTTGAGAGCAATGTAAATGATGGAGGCCTGGCCTGTGAAGTTCCAAAAAGAGTGGGTTGAGAATCTATGGTTCTGGTCAGCTGGGGCTAAAGAACGATGAACAAGAGACCAGAACCACTGAGGTAAAATCTTTGCTTTACTGAGACAATTGATGCTGGTCAGCTGGAGCTGAGACACTGGTGGTGATTAAGGAGAGAGCATTAGCATTGAGGTGAAATGTGCTGGGAAGTGTTTCCACAGAGACAGTGTGCTGAAGCTGTGTTAGGGTTGTACCTTGAGCTGGCAGCTGAACTTGGGTAGTGTGAGAGTCACCATGTGGTACTGGTTTTGAAGCCATGAAAGGGTCATAAAGAGCAACCAAGGCTTTGAGCTCTGAGAGGCCAGGAAATGTCTTTGGTGACGGTGCAGCCTCAGTAGCTATTGAAGGCCCAGGATTAAAAGGGTTATGCTGAGAAGATGAGGCTTCGCACCATGAAAAGCGCCCAGGAAAGGCTATTGGTGAAAGTGCAGCCCAGTTGCAGGAGAAGAACCAGGCATTTTGGAGATGCTGGTACCATGGGAAAATCACCAAGAACAGCAGCAGCCTGGAAGACAAACTTTGTGTGCAGCAGAAGGCAGAGCCAGAGACGTAGCCCAAGCTCTCTGGAGGAGCCCAGAAAACATGAGTGAATCCCAGATATTGGACCTTGAGCTATTTATACTGTTAGAGTTTGGTTTGCTTTGATCTGATTGTTACAGTGCCCTTGTTCTTCCCTCTTGAGTAAGAAACTGTTTAACTTATTTTTGTAATTTACAGGAGCTCATAGTTGAGAGACTTTGAATTTTTTTTGGGGGGGGGGGGTAGGGGGTTTTTTTTTTTTTTTTACTTTTTTTTTTTTTTATAACCCCCCATAAGCCCCACCCTCCTCCAACACCGATCCCACCCTCCCCCCCCTTTCTGCATGCATGCCACTCCCCAAGTCCATTGATAGGGGAGGTTCTCCTCTCCTTTCTGATCTTAGTCTATCAGTTCTCATCAAAATTGGCTACATTGTCCTCTACTGTGGCCTGGTAAGGCTGCTCCAAGAAGAAATTTTAGATTTCAAAGAGACTTTGGATTTTTTAAATTATTTTTCATTTTATTAATTACAGTTTATTCACTTTCTATCTCCCCTGTAGCTCCCTCCCTCCTCCCCTCCCAATCCCATCCTCCCTTCCTCTTCCCCACCCGTGCCCTTCCCCTAGTCCACTGATAAAGGAGGTCCTCCTCTCCTTCCCTCTGATCCTAGTCTATCAGGTCTCAGGAGTGGCTGCATTGTCTTCCTCTGTGTCCTGGTAAGGCTGTTCCCCCCTTGGGGGAGGTGAGCAAAGGCAGGCCAATCAGTTCCTGTCAGAGACAGTCCCTGTCCCCATTACTATGAACCCACTTGGACACTGAGCTGCCATGGGCTTCCTCTGTGCAGGGGTTCCAGGCCATCTCCATGAGTGGCCCTTGGCCTGAGTATCAGTCTCAGAAAACACCCCTATGCCCAGACTTTTTGGATCTGTTGCTCTCCTTGTTGAGCTCCTGTCCTCTCCAGTTCTCACTATCTCCCACTTCATTCATAAGATTCCCTGCACTCTGAGCAAAGTCTGGCTATAAGTCCCAGCATCTGCCTCAATACCCTGCAGGGTAGAGACTTTCAGAGACCCTCTGTGGTAGGCTCCTGTCCTGTTCCCTGTTTTCTCCCTCCTCCGATGTCCATCCTCTTTGCCTTTCTGAATGGGGATTAAGCAACTTAGTCAGAGTCCTCCTTCTTGGTTAGCTTTCTTAGGTGAACAGGTTTTAGTATGTTTATCCTATTTTATATGTCTAATATCTACTTATGAGTGGATATACCCTGTGTATATACCCTGTGTGTCTTTCTGCTTCAGGGATACCTCACTCAGGATGATCTTTTTCAGTTCCCACCATTTACCTGCAAATTCATGATTTCCTTGTTTTTAATTGCTGAATAATATTCTGTTCTGTAAATATAACACAATTTCTGTATCCATTCCTCAACTGAGGGGCATCTGGGCTGTTTCCAGCTTCTGGCTATTACAAATAAAGCTGCTACAAACATGGTTGAGCAGATGTCCTTGTTGTATACTTGAGCATCTTTTGGATATATGCCTAGGAGTGGTATGGCTGGATCTTGAGGCAGCACCAGATTGATTTCCAGAGTGGTTGTACAAGTTTACATTCCCACCAGCAGTGGAGGAGGGTTCCCCTTTCTCCACAACCTCTCCAGCATGTGTTGTCACTTGAGTTTTTCACCTTAGCCATTTTGATGGGTGTAAGGTGAAATCTCAGGGTCCTTTTGATTTGCATTTCCCTAATGACTAAGGACATTGAGCATTTCTTTAAGTGTATTCTCTGCCATTCGATATTCCTCTACAGAGAATTCTCTGTTTAGCTCTGTACCCCATTTTTTAATTGGATTACTTGATTTGTTGCTGTTTAACATCTTAAGTTCTTTATATATTCTGGATATCAGCCCTCTGTCAGACACAGAATTAGTGAAGATCCTTTCCCAATCTGTAGGTAGTCGTTTTGTTCTGATGACAGTGTCCTTTGTTTTACAGAAGCTTTTCAGTTTCATGAGGTCCCATTTATTGATTGTTGCTCTTAGAGCCTGTGCTGTTGGTGTTCTGTTCAGGAAGTTGTCTCCTGTGCCAATGAGTTCAAGGCTCTTCCCCACTTTTTCTTCTAAGTGGTTTAGTGTGTCTGATTTTATATTGAGGTCTTTGATCCACCTGGACTTTAGTTTTGTTCAGGGTGATATATATAGATCTATTTGCATTTTTCTACGTGTAGATATCCAGTTAGACTGGAAAAAAGATAGCATCCATTGTATGATTTTGGCATCTTTGTCAAAAATCAGGTGTCCATAAGTGTCTGGGTTTATGTCTAGGTCTTCTATCCGATTCCATTGATCCACCATTTTGTTTCTATGCCAGTACCATGCAGTTTTTATTACTGTTGCTCTATAGTACAGCTTCAGATCAGGGATGGAGATACCTCTAGAAGATCTTTTATTGTAGAGGATTGTTTTAGCAATTCCAGGTTTCTTGTTATTCCATATGAAGCTGAGAATTTTTCTTTCAAGGTCTGTAAAGAATTGTGTTGGTAATTTGATGGGAATTGCATTGAATCTGTAGATTGCTTTTTTAAAAAAAAAAGACTGAATTTTTTGTTTTTAACATTTATTATTATTTATTACAGTTTATTCCCTTTGTATCCCACCTGTAGCTCCCTCCCTCTGTCCTTCCCAATCCCACCCTTCCTTCCTCTTCTCCACACATGCCCCTCCCCTAGTCCACTGATAGGGGAGGTCCTCCTCCCCTTCCATCCTAAAAGACTGAATTTTAAGTGTTTGAATTTTTAAAGACTGTGGACTTTTTAAGTTTGTAAAATGTTTTATATTGTGATGTTGATTGATGTTGATTAATGTGTGATCGCAGGGATGAACAAGAAAGAAAAGTTTGTGGCTCAACAGTGAGGTATTTGTGTGTCAAGTTGACAAGAGGTCAATTGTGCTGGCTAATTTTATGACAACTCAACACAAGCTAGAGTCACCTGAGAGAAGGGAACTTTAACTGAGAACGTATTTCCATAAGATCTGACTCTAAGGCATTTTCTTAATTAGTAACTAATGTGGGAGGGCCTAGTCTATTGTAGGTGGGGCCACCCCTGAACTGTTGGTTTTGGGTTATAAAGTAGACTGAACAAGCTAGAGGGAGCAAGGCAATAAGCAGCACTCCTCCATGGCCTCTGCATCAGCTCCTGCCTCGAGGTTACTGCCCTGACTTCCTTTTATGATGAACTGTGATATGGAGTATAAGCCAAATAAACCCTGGTGTTGCTTTGGTTGTGTTGTTTCATCACAGCAATAGTAACCCTGACTGAAAGAAACACTAGGACCAGAATAACTTACAGAAGGAAGGGTTTAATTGGTTTACAGTTTTGGAGGGACTGTCATAATTAGGAAGTGTGGGAGCAAGCAGCTGGGGGCTCATTCCTGAACCACTACAAGCAGGGAGCAGAGAATAAACTGGGAATGGCATGTGACTTTCAAACTTCAAATCTCATCCCCAGTGGTATACTTTCTTCAGCAAAGGCCACATCTTCTCAACCTACCCAAACAGTGCCACCAATTAATATACAAATATCTGAGCTTATTGAGAACATTCAATCCACCTTGTTAAACTTGGCAGCAAGCCTTTACCTGCGTGCTATTTTGCCAGCCCTACAGTTGTATATGAGTGCAAGTGCTCAGGAAGGCCAAAAGAGGGTATCCGATCTCTGGAGCTGGAGCTGTGGCTGTGAAAAGTATGGTCTTTATCACAGCGATAGAAACCTAACAAAGACACAGGTCACCTAGCAATGACCTAAAGCACACAGGATGCTCACACAAGCTGCCATTTTCTTTCTGTAAGGCTTTTGGATGCCCTTAGATCTTGGTATCCACAGGGATGAATCCTGAAACCGTCCTCCGTGAATACTGAGGGATAGTTGCCATTTTGTGGCTTTTCAGTGTATGTTGCAAAAATTACTTCAGCACAAAATGAAATTTAAAATAGGGTGCAAAACAGAAAAGAATGTATAGAAATACATTTGAACAAATAAACTCAGCATATTAATAAAATATTAAGTAACTTTTTCAAAGCAAATATTTGGAGAGAAGAGTTGACCCTGCTTTACATTGTTGCAAATCACGTTGTTATATGGTTTATAGAAGACAACTGGGTTCTCCTTTCTACTTCTGTGTTCAGTCCACTAATTTAATGCATGTTGCAGGATATTTTATCCCATTATGAACTGGAAAAAAAAATCTGTGTCTTGTTGTGGTGTGGCTCATTCCTAACACACACCTTTAACCCAAAAGCTTTCTGTTTATTTTAAACAAGTAATTATGGTGTGGCTCAACCCTAGTACATACCTAAAATCCAAGAGCTTTCTGTAAAAAGCTCGTGTCTGAGGACACGAGGTCCAGCAGAAGCACATAAAGTTAACCATAGGTCAAGAGGCAGAGCAAGAAACGAGCTGACATGGAATAAACAGAAGGGGGAAACATTAAAGGGTATTTAAGACAGCGGAGAGAAGGAAAAGAGCTTTCTCCTTCTGGGATGTGAGCTGAGTAGGAAGGGCTTTTTCCTTTTGACAGAGTAGTAAGGTCAGCTGGATGCTTTCTCTGCCTCTCTGAGGGGTAGGCTTTCACCCCAACATCTGGCTTCTGAGTCTTTATTTGTAAAATCAAATGTTTGGGACTTTTTTTTTTAATTTAAAACAATTCCATGTCATTGGTTTAACTATATGCTAATAAGAAACTAAAAGCAAAAAGGGAAATTTTACCTTATCATTGCAGGGCAAGTATTTTTTTGTTTTGTTTTGCTTTTGTTTTTTGACACTGCTGATCTTCTGAAAAAGTTTTAGAAAAACCAGGTATTCCCAAGCCTTTCACTGGTATGCCTTAGTTGCTGGGTTGGCTTCACTTCATTGATAATGACAGAAGTAACTAGCATGTTAATACTTATCTAGTTGTAGCTGGGTACACCACTTGAGGGATACTTTTTTCTTAAATTATTCAAAGTAGGAAGATTCTTGGTCTTTCCATTGGGAGACAGCCATTGTTGGACTAGCTGGACAACAGCCTATAAGCCATTCTATTAAATCTATTAAATATATATTTAATAGATTTAATATTTAATATTCTTTATAATTTTCTTTATAATTTTTATAATATTCTTTATAAATATATAATAATTTATATATTTAATATTCTATTAAATATACATATATATGGATTCTGTAAATTCTGTTCCTCCAGAGGACCATGATTAATATACTGATTATTTGTTTGTTACCAAAACATTTAAAGATATAGTGGTGGTATCTATGTTGTCTTCAGAGCATGTCCTTATTAGAGCCTTGAAAAGGTGAGGTTTCTTTTTTCTTTTGTTTTTGTGTTAGGTTTTTTGGGTTTTTGGGTATTTGGGGGTTTTGTTTTGGTTTGGTTTGGTTTGGTTTTTGGGTTTTGGTTTTGTTTTGTGTGGGTTTTTGTTGTTGTTGTTTTCTGTTTTGTTTTTCAATACAGGGTTTCTCTGTGTAGCCTTGGCCACCCTGGACATTTTGTAGATCAGGCTGGCCTTGAACTCATAGAGATCTGCCTGCCTCTGCCTCCCCGAGTGCTGGAATTACAGGCATACCCCATTTCACTCCTCAAAAGGTGAGTAATTTGTTCTTGATTATTTCATAGATTCAAAACTGAGGCTTCAGGGGAATATGGCATTTATGGATTGTGTGAGGTAGGGGCTTGTCTCCACTCACAGTGATGGGGGAGCTCGATGGGCACAGACAGTGCCAGTCACACTCCCACCAATGCCTCCTCTCTCCTAGGCTGAGATGAAGATCCAGGACCGGCAGCTGCTGCTCACACTGAGGTATCTGCACAGCCTCCTGGAGGAGCTCCAAGCAGAAAGCACCCACTGGGAGGACACGAGGTCCAGCAGAAGCACATCGCCTTTCCGAGCTAGGCTTAGCTCAGAGGGCAGAGGCTGCCAGCCTTTTCAGAGGCAATTGGGCCAACTGCTCCAAGGAGAAGAGAGCAGGCGAAGCTCCTTTCCTTAACTAGCCAGAGGATACTAACCAAAACCTTCTACCACCAGTATACATTTTGTGTCTGTTGTGTGTCCTTGAGTCTGTCATTTCTTAACTGTCTCTTTCACTCACCAGAGGGTCTGATAAATTATTGTGTGATAAATAATTGAATGCATACATATTTTATAAGTGTAACACTGTTACATAGCTTCCAGCAAGTTATCACTATGGGTGGTAATCCTATCTTTAGTAGTTTTCCACAGGGCAATTGTTAAAGAGAAATTATGATATGCAAAGATGGCTATCTGCTATTGCCTTGGTAAAAAATCAGAAAATTCACCTGTAGTGAATTTCTGGCTATTTTCCATGTTCCCCATAGGCATTCTTATCCCACTTTATCTGGCCCTGTTCTCACCCCAGATCACAGAGATAAGCATGTCACCAGGCCTAGTCAACTGTATAATTCATGTTGGTTCTAACATCTTGATTCATGATTGGCTTGATTCATGGGCGTGTGACTCAACAAAGCCAACCACAATCCTTCCCTGGGTCGTTAGCTGGATCCTGCTGGCCACACTTCTGGTGTTGGCTTCATTTTTCTTAGGCTGTATTAATCTTTGTCAATAAGCAGTATAAGGTTAAACTCCAGGGAAGAGGTTAAAGGAGGGACGGCCTCTTTTGTCCCCTGAAGTATCTTGTAGGCTACTTGCAGCTCTTGACGTCACCCACCAGTGCTGTTTTACCTCAGCAGGTGGCACCAGCTCTGTCTAGGTCCAAGAGCCAGCCTGGAGGCCCCTCTAAGTGCAGATGCCCCTCCTCAGATGTCTGCAAGCCAGCACTACAGGGTGCCTGTCTGTGCAGTCTATATTCTAATCCTTCAGCTTCCGTGTTCCCCCAGCACTGGAGGTGGTAGATTCTTCCTGTAATTGCTAGCTTGTAGTTCTTTTTATAACTTCTCATCCACTCAGTTAACTTTATACTTAGTTAATAAGCCTTTGTATTAAATACTGTGGTTGAAAAAAAAAAAGGAATGGGGGAGAAGACAGAAAAAGTGTGGCTTGTTTCCTACCTATCCTCATGGACACCATTTTTCTTTTAGTGCCGATGCAGCTCTAACTATTGTAACGTCTTCCAACGCACAAGAATCTCTAGGATGCATACATATGTCAGAGAGGAGAGTCAGAGGGGTGGGGATGCTCATGTTTATAAGAAACCCCACCCCCTAACTGAAGAGCTAGTGACAGCTGATGGCTGCAAGGGGACGAAGACTCGGTTTTCTTTAAGTGTGTGGTCTCACGTAGGTCTACCCAGTGCCAACCCAGTGAGCAGCTCCATACCCATGAGTATATGGGCAGTACAAATTTGACTTTACATGTAATAAAATAAAATGAAAAGAAAAACAAAAGACATGGAGTTGGAAGGGGGTTGGGGTGGGTCTTAGAGGAGTTAGGGGGAAGAGTAGGGCTGGAAATGATGAAGATATATTAAATGAGGATATGAAATTTTCAAATAACTAATAAAATACCATAATTTTTTAAAAGAAGGAAGAAAGGAAGGAAGGAAGGAAGGAAGGAAGGAAGGAAGGAAGGAAGGAAGGAAAGAAAGAAAGAAAATACTTAGGCCAAGGTTGGAGTCTAGTTTCACCCTGCAAGCATATGTGATCCTTGGTGCTCTGAATCTAGTCAGAACTTAATGTTATCAATTGGAAGTTTCACCAGTATAGCCAGTGATGGCTGTAATCTATAATCTGTAAACTATATGAGATCTAGACCGCCTCTAAGCTACACTGTAAGGGTTGAGGCCAGCTAGGGCTGGAGATGTGACTCAGTGGCTTAGCACATCTCTCGCTTGTGTGTGGCTGGATTTGGTTCTTAGCATCACAAAGGGGAAAAATGGTTTTCACATGTTTGATCCTGATTACAGAGATTACTGATTACTGATTACAGGTTGTTGTTTTAGGGGTTTATTGCTGTGAAGAGACACCATGACCATGACAACTCTAATAAAGGAAAACAGTTAAGTGGGGCTGGCTTACAGTTTATCAGAGGTTGAGTCCATTATCATTGTGGCAGGAAACATGGCAGAGTGCAGGCAGACATGGTGCTGGAGAAGGAGCAGAAAGTTCTACATCATGATCTGCAGGCATCAAGGAGAGACTGTGTGCCACACTGGGCATAACGTGAGCATATGAAAACTAAAAGCCTGCCCTCACAGTGACACACTTCCTCCACCAAGGCTATACTTCCTAATAGTGCCACTCTCTATGGACCAAACATTCAAACACATGAGTCTATGGGGGATGTTCCTATTCAAACCACCAGATTTGTTAAACTTATTTTTAATTTAATTCCAACCCTACATTTCGTGTGTGTGTGTGTGTGTGTGTGTGTGTGTGTGTGTGTGTGTGTGTGTAAATGAATATGAATATGTGTGGATATCCATGCACAAGTGTACACATTTGGGTGGAGGCCAGAGATTAGTGTAGGGCATGCTCTCAATCGAGTTCCAATTTAGTTTTTGAGACAAGAGTTTCTCACTGAGCTTGGAGCTTCCCAGTCAGCTAGGCTGATTGGCCAGTGAGCTCCAGAGATCCTCCTTTCACAGGGATTATAGGTGTATACCCACTTGTATTAAAAAAAAAAAAAGTGTGTTCCTGTGTTTGTTTTTATTGGCCACAGCAGTATGGGGGGGTGGTCTTCATGTAACCACAGAGGGAGTTGTGTTGTGGGTTCTGCTTAAATCCAATATAACTCAAATTCAGGTCAATGCAGATGACAAAAATTTATTGTAATCAAGTCACTACTGATCCATCAGAGCCACAGAACAGCCCCAGGAGCTGAACTGTGACCCTGGAGGGACGTTGTACAGCATATTTAAAGGATGAAACTATAAAGAGATGGGGAGCAGGATGTGCTATACCATTGCCCCATCATATTTTGACGTAATGGATTGATCAAGAGAATTTCCATCAATCAGGATAGAAGTAGGTTTCTGGGATTGGGAACATGAACTTGTTTGAACCTGCCAGCAAGATGAAGAAGTTGTCCCTGAGATGTCTAGACTCAGACAACTGTTTATTTACAAGTTGTCCCTGAGATGTCTGGACTCAGACAACTGTTTTGTTTTTTTGTTTGTTTGGTTGTTTTTTGCTTTCTATTTTTTTACCACAGAAGCTGTTCAGCTATTGGGAAGTCCCCAGCTCCCCTAGGCCTGGGACCTTGAATTTAGTTTCTCCCTATAATTAAATGGAGTCTGAAAACAAAATGGTAGAGTAAGTTTCTTTTGCTTGTTCCCAACAAGTTGGATCCTTGTTGTGTGACAAAATTTTTCCTGGGGAGATACAACAGAAATATGTACTCACTCCAGTTGGGGAACTCACAATAGGCCCAAGTATGGCTACCACCAGAGTCCAGTTTGGTGAACAAGTGGCTTTTATTGGAGTTGCTTACAGAAACATGGATGAGGGGTTACTTAGGGAAATATAAATGACTCACAAGACAACTGCATCACCGAAGCCCACTCCAACATGGCTGACAGCTCATAAAGCTGGGAATCTGGAGCACACTGAACAGCCAGCAGGCAACTCAACACATTGAAGCATGTTCTTTCCAGGTGCCTCAGTTGATCTAAACCTCTTCCAGGCCATTGGTTTCTGCTCTTTCCAGGCAACTGGTCTGGTTTCAAAGTCTTCTTGACAGCTCAGTTTCCTTCTGTCTCAGGGGGATTCTCAGCTTTTATTGCTTACTTTTACAGGGAGGAAATTAAAAAACAAAAACAAACTTTGTGTCTCCAGGATGGATGTTTCAATCTTGGAGGAAACTGTTACACAATCCCCCTAAAGTTGGAGTGACAAACAGTTGTCGGGTCCTTGACCTGTGGACCTGTGGGCTGGGAACAAAACTTTTGGTCTTCTGGAATACCAAACATTCTTAACCACTGAGACGTCTCTCTAGCCCTTCTGGTTTTTACACTGATGCTTGGGATAAGAACTCGATTCTCATGCTTGTGTGGCAAGTATTTTATAGACAGAGCCACCTCTGCCATCCCCTCATTTTTTTACATTTTGCTCTTAAGGTGAGTTGCCCCGAGATTTTTGGGCCTCCTTCACCTTATCTCCCCATGTATAAAAGGTGACAATAATAGCTCTTCTCACTTATTATTGCAAATGAAGTGGAGCCATTCCCATATAGCACTTCATCCAGCACTCTGCCCTGGAAAGACTAATAAATATCTGTAAATTCGTTCTTCTTGCTGTGAGGGATGCATACTAACTTGTGAAACCATGACAATGACAAATCAAGAAACTTTTTAATAGCCAGCATTAAAAGACATATCTGCTTGGCCATGTGAAGGAGAAAGGATAGTGTTCTCTCATGTCCAATAACATGGCTACTATCCTCTGTCTGTTCTAGCTTCCCATAGCTGGCCCACAGTCCAAAAAATTCTGCCAACTCCCACTTACACACTAATCTGGGAAGTAAACTGAGAGCCTTGCAGCTGCTTCTCTGAGAGATGTTTTCCTGCTCCTGGACTCTCTGTCTAAAACCAGCGTTTGTTTCTGAGGCTAGGTCAGAACAAACTGAGACTGAGCTCCGGTGCTGGAAACAACATCCTGAGCACGGATTGTAGAAGGCTAGAAATTGACTCCCTCCAGGACAGTCAGTGAGCACCAGGGGGAGCACATGGATCACGATCTTAGAAAGGAAAAAGCAGGGCCTTCGCCCATCAAAGCAGCAAAAACAGGTATGCAGAGCCAACCTAGTGTGGCATCCAGGGTGAGGCGAGGAGGAAACATAGCTGGCAAACAGATGATCAATGCAGTCAGATCCTAATGACTCAGGTGCAGGAAGAACTCAGGTGTCATGAAGCCCAGAGTGGCTTGAGGCAGCAGGACAGAGCTCATGCTAGACTGATGATAAATGATCAGGTTGGCTTCTGGTCTTGAGCCATATATATAACACCTGACCAAGCTTAAAAATTGCCCCAAACTTCAAATAACAACAATTATCTTGTCCGTAGCTACACTTGGC